TTCAACTTCTTTAAGAGGCAATTTATGTACTTCAATTATATCTGCAACAGAGCCTAAACAGTATTCCATTACAAGCTAAAATGTTCGGTCAATTGTGAGTTTTTACCCATGGTGTTTGATCTTTCATGTAGCAGCCCTTAGATAGCACACAGTTAGGATGAAAAACCGTCCTGAGGAGCTTAATCTCTCTAACTATATCATTCCATTCTTCTTCGCACTTTTTCCTCTTGGTATCTACCTTAAGTTCTTTGATTGCAACAACTTCTCCCGTAACTTGGTTTCGAGCCTTAATTAGGAAGTTGGGATAAATTAGATAAATCTACATAATAAACAGCTCCAAAGCTTCCACATCCAATTTGACGAAAATCTACAAAGACTCGGGTAGGATCTTCCGCACTAAAAATGGTGGATAACTCATGATCCTTGAAAACAGTATTTCTGAGTGATTTCGGCATTTACAGGAATTCATTCTAAAAATGAGAAAATGAACGTAATTATGAAGAATAATTATACATACTAGAGATCAAACTTTAAAGAAAGAGTATATTAACAGTCCCTACTCTAATAATTGTTACAAGAATCTTACCGATTTTAACCCGTCGCGAGCGGCGGGCAAGCAAGTTTGGCGGCTGTATGGTCGGACATTTACAAAACTATCTGAGTGATTCAAACTACATGCTAGAGGCTAAATTTTACACGAACTATATGCTATTTAAATCGATAAAAATGCTATAATCGTATTTTCAAACCCTTTGAACAGATACTTTTAAATGGTGGCAAGTTACCATGCCTAGTTTGCCTTATTTACTTTTCAATAAATTGCTTAGGCAAATTCGGCTTTGTAAATACCCTATTTCAAGGAGAGATATATTTACCTTTTAAGTATAATCGGCATGAAGCTTCTTCTCAAATTTGCCTGAATTCTCTCTTTATAAATTTTTTTTATTAGTACACCATAATTTTTGGCTTATTTTAAAATGATTTGTTTATGCATTAGTCATAATGCTAGCTCCTCTAGTAAAATTCTTATATCTAATTTTAATGACTTTCAACGCCTTTTTGGGGGTGTTTGTTCCCGTGGTGGAATAATTTGCAACTGGCTATTTATCTAACCATCATATCATATGGTGCTGCTTCCGAATCATTTATAAAGAATGAGTTGAATCATTAAATAGTTTGATATCTGACTCAAAACGAATCAGCACTAGGCACATAATAGCAGCAAATTTTATACAATAAAAAGGATAATGCAAGAGGGAAAAATAAAATTTTGAGGGCTACACTATACGTAGGAATGTCAAATAACGATTTTTCAAAATGGAAGAGAATATATTAAAAATTGAACCATGTTATGGAGAATAATCAAAGATATTATGTTGAATAATTGAATTATTTTAACGTTTATACCATATTTTGGATCGAATAATCCTTTTCTATGGGTAAAAGATGTTGAACGTCTTTATTTATCAGTGATAAAGTTCTTTGGGTAATATGGATGTGATTACGATGCACTTAACACTAGCTTACTCGCTATGAGCAAAGCTGGAAACGTGTGTAAGCTCTATTCTCATAAACTTAATAATCCATCCATTATTTTTTA